CACCTTTAAAACTAATCAGCACAGATTCAGCTTTGCACTTCAGAAACAATTGGCCTCTGTTGCTCTTGTTTCATTGACGCTTCAATGAGACTTGCCTGATCAGATATATTTCATGGTCAAAGGAGCGGCTGTAAAACGCTGGATAAACACATTTCCTTTACCTGTAAATTCTTATCAATAAAAGTCATATTTGCTGCTCACTGTCCAAGCCTCACTGAGATCTGATCCAGGCCACCTCGGCACGTGGTCTGGTTGATCCCAATTCGAGCCGGATCCGATCTCGGAACGTACAGACTCTACAGTTAATGCGTACTGCCGTGATCAGATGACAAAAGTCACGTTGAAAAACGTATTAAACGTGTAACCCCGGCCCTAGTCAGACTCATGATAGACAGACATTTTGGACAAATTATTTTTCCTTGTCAAAACCTGGCACTCTGCATTACCCACAATGCAACGCGACCACTGGCAGTCTTGTCAGAGATTTGGGTGCGTTGACTTCTTTGTACCTCCACACATTTGTTTCATTTTCAAACTTGTAGTCTTCTGCCCTGAGCGACGCCGACTCAACTGACATCACTTAAGGCAATTAAACACACTTCACACAGCTCCCACTGGAGCCACAAAAAGACTTGAGGATTATTCTTTTTGTATTCATGCGGTAGCACCGCCGACCTGTAAACAGACTTTGATGTGTGAAGTTCATAACATGACAAACTCTTTGGCTGTCAGGATGTTCTGATCTCACTCTTTTTTACCGAGCCAAGGGCAGACTTGGTTGCAAAATTATTGAGATGGATTTTAATATAGAGTTGAAGCTCAGTGGTGTTGTAGTAGATGCAAACACAGAAGAATCAGTTTACCGGATTAAGACTCGACCTCGAGCCCGTTGAAGTAGCAGAAGGGTAGATTTAAAGGTGAAGACAAAGCGGAGCTGGAGTCCTGGAGAAGACTCCCTTGAAGAGAAGAGTTTGACGCTCCGGTCGGAGACGGTGCAGCAGATTTAAGCGCAGATGCATCGAGCACAGACGCGGCAGCAGAGCACGTTTAGAAAGTAGGAATTGTGCCGAGTTACAGAAATCGCAGCCGCAGGCGGGCAATGATGTGACTGTGCACTTTGTGATGAATGACCTCTGAATGCAGATGTAGTGCAGGATTATAGGGCTGGTTCAGCAGGGTGGCTCGGGGCCCCTCGGCTCTGACGGGGGCCATGCATCTCAAGGGGCTTGGCTCCCCAGCACAAGGTTACTCCCAGCAAAGGCTGCAGGGCCCCTCGGGAAGATCGGCGGCTCATCAAATCCCTGCTCCAATAGAAAGGACCCCGCTCCTTCACTTGTCTCATGTCCTCTGTTCTCTTCTTTGCCTCTTTCTTTTTCCTCTACTCTCTATTTCACCCCCTTTGTTCATGTTCTTCGTCTCTTCTTCTGTCTTCTTCTCTTTTGTCCTTTTTCTTTTCTTGGCTCTGCTCTGTTCTTTGCGATTTATTTTTGTGTTTTTCATTTCGACTTTTATCTTGTCCTCTTTTCTCTCCTCCATTTTCACTTTAGGTTGTCTTCTATTTATTTTATTAAAGTTCTCTCTCTCCTTTCACTCTTGGGTTTATCCTCCTTTTTCTTCTTCTTTCCTTTGTCTACATGTCTTTGTCTCTTCTCACCTGTTTCACACCTTTCCTCTCTTTTTTCCTTCAGTTTTCTGTCTCTTCTTTTTGTCCCCTCTTTGTCCTTTTCCTTACTTTCTATTTATCTTCTATGTTCTTTTCAATTCATCATCTCTTTTTTTCTCTTCTCACCTGTTTGTTCTTTTCACATCATTTTTTCCCGTCTCTGTTCAATAGTTTGTTCCGTTCACTTTGTTTTGTTTTGTCAGATTTAATTATCTAGCGTCCTTGTTTGCCTTCTACTAGTTTCACTGTCCTCTTCTTCCTTTCCTTCTTCTCCCTTTCCTTCTCTTTGTATCTTCCTCTCTCTCGTCTGCTGTCTGACATCCTTACTTTGCTGTGGTGTTCTCCTCTAATTTACGAGCCCGTCACTGATCTTATCGGCTGTCTGTGGTTTTCTGTCGGCCTTATCTGCAGGTTCCGTTTCTGTGTTTTTTTGTGTACTTCTGCATGTTTGTGTTGGTGTTGGCGTGTGTGTGTGTGTGTGTGTGTGAGTGTGTGAGTGTGAGTGTGTACTGTATGTGAGCATAAAAAAAAAAGATGCAACTTGCTGTGGAAATCCGGCGCCATCCACCGCCTCCTCCGTCTCTGCTTTACCTTTTCTTCTCCCACCTCTACTCTTCTTCTCTTCCATTCTTCCCGGCCTGCTCTCCTCCTCTTCATCAGGGCGGGAGCATCCCAGAAGCAGAGATCCAATTTAGATTTACCTCCTCAGCTTTCTCTGCTTTCACCGGCTCGAACGGCAAGCGCGCGCTATCCTATCTCCT